AATTATAGAAAAAAACAAACAAACAAACAAACAAAAACAACAAAACAACAAAAAAAAAGAAAAAAAGAGGAGGGAGAAAAAAAAAAGAAGAAAATGAAAGAATGACTTTCCCCTTCAAACCAAAAACAATTAAAAAATTTACAAAACTTTAAAACAAAAAAAAATTTGAGCATAGTTTTAACACTAAATAAGAAAAGATTTATAAAGGAACATACTTAACAAATGGCTTGGAGTAGTCTATTAAAAAATTGGGGAGATCTTGAATTCATAATAAGTTAGCAAGGCATTTTTGTTGGTTTTTTTAATTTAAAAAAATCCCAGATCGTATAGATGTTTACAGTGATTACATTTATCTAAGCAACATACATACATGTTCAGTTGTAAGATGGTACCTAATTTTCTCTGACAAATATGTGGGTTTTCCCCCTTTAATACCAAGAACATTATAGAGTTAATGGAGAGTCCTAAAGATAATCTAGTAGTCACTAAGTTTCTGAAATCTTCACTTTAGATGCTGTTATTCTAGCACAGGTTAGCATGCAGAGTCTTTCATATGCTCAAACACTGGAATCTTTGGTTGCTACCGTATCAGCTGACTTGCAAACAAGAAGCCAACCATTTTGAGAATGTTTTAAGTGAACAACTTGCAAACCCCAGGGATGGAAAAACCCTAAGAATGCACAATTTACAACCATCACAACTGTGGCTGAAGACTGTTCATGCCGTTCTTCTGAAATGACATCTCAAAGCAGTATAGTTCAAACTAAAAGGCTTTAACAAAACAATTGGCATATGCACAATTTCTCCACCAATTTGTCTCAACCATTTCGTTAACTTTTCCACTTGAAGAAATGCAATAGAAAACTGGACACCATGTTTCACTATCTCAGTTAATATTCACAAATACAGCAGCTACAATTCAAGATACAGCATCACCAGCACTGCCCAGAGCCAGTTGACACTGAAATTAAGTTCTTCACATCAAGTAAATGGTTGTCCACAACCACTGGCTAGTGTCCATAAGAACGAAAATTTCGAGATTTTGGGGAGAAACAAATGCTGCTCCAATCATCTGCTCTGCTTCTTCTGTTCTTCAATTCATGCTTAGAAATCTTTCATGTTACTCTTGGTTTTGTCAGTTTGCTTGCCTGTGGGGGTTTGGGCCTGCTCACCCTGCCCACTGGAAGAGGCCGCCTGCTGTGCTGCTTTCTGCTTTAACATTGTCCAATCAAATCTGTAGTCATACTGATGGTTCAGGGTCCTGAAAAGAATGCGGAATAACTGCCTCAGGTACATGTAATCTGGAGCTTCCTCAAAGTGCAAACCACGACAATAATTTAAGTACATGGCAAATTCGGCAGGAAAGCCTTTACATAAATCTTCAACAGGAGTGGACATCTTTTTTCCACTAATCTTTTCAAATTTTTGTTTCTTTGTTGCAGCCTTTAGTCCTTGCCATGGTAAGCTAGTTCCATTAAAATACATCAAAACATAGCCTAACGATTCCATGTCATCTCGGCGACTCTGTTCAATACCAAGATGTGCATTGATGCTAGCATATCGGGCAGTGCCAGTAAGATT